CACCCACACCCACACCGACACCCACACCCTGTTTTATCGAAGGGATTTACCCATTCAGTTGTATGTGATGAAGTTTGAATTGTGCTGGATGTAATAGAATTCTATGGAGATTCTAGTAAAATTCTGCTGTATTTTTTAAATTCTAAGCAGAATTTTGTTTTATCGAAGGGGATCCAACCATGCAGCAATCATGCTTAGTAGTTTGTTTGCTATTGGGAATTTATCTTACTGGATTAATCCATTATTTATCGATTGGATTTTTAAATTCTGAATTCTGTTGGTAAGAATTCTGCAGCCCCTCCCACACTCATACCCACACCTACACTCACACCCCACACCCACACTCGCACCCATACCCACCCATACCCTCACACCCACACCCACCCACACCCACCCACACCCACCCACACCCACCCACACCCACCGACATCCACCGACATCCACAGTCACACTCACCCACACTCACATCCACACCTATACCCGCACCCTCACGCCCACATCCACCCACACCCACCTACAACTACCCACACTCACACCCACCTAGAACTACCCACACCCACATCCACTACCCACATCCACACCCACATCCACACCCACACCCCACACTCACACCCACACTCACACCCAAAATGGTGAAGCCTCTAACACAGCTTAACTCGCATGTGAAGGCGCCACTAGCAGCTACATAGTGAGTTTGTGATTTTTTTTTTGGGAAGAGAGATGTAGTTCGGGAATTTTTCGATGCTCGACATTTTCCAAAAACAAGTTCTGCAGATTCGAAAAATTTTCCCAAACGTGCGTTACCACACACAGGTAGATTCGGCATTTCTGCTATTTTCACCCAATATTGTTTATCTCGTCAAATAGTTCGAGAGTAAAGAAAATGTGATTAATTCATTTTAGATCTGAGATGACTACACATCGTCAAAACCTTCATCTTAGTGAAATGGAAAAGAATAAAGAAGAGTTTCGACTAATTCGGTTTGACGAAAATATCAATGATTCAACCCACTCTGTTCAAGCACAAATGATGTTGTTAGAGCTAAATCCTGCTGCCCAATTCTACACTGATTCTAATCGATGCATCGATCTGATCAAATCGATCAAAGACGAACAAGTATTGTTGGTCGTTTCGTGTAATTTCGCTTCTATCGTTCTGCCACAAATCCATCATTTTCAATCAGTCGTTGCTGTTTTCATTTTCTGTCCTAACCACCAAGATGATAGATCGTTTATGAATAGCTATACGAAAATAGTTGGAATATTCTTTGACGAAGATTCTCTATTGAAATCTTTGCGTGAAACAATAAATCGTCTTGAAAAACAAGCAGTAGCGTTCAGTTTATTCGATCAGAGACAAAAGTCATCGAAATATTTGTCCAAAGAGTCAGCATCATTTTTGTGGCATCAAATGCTTCTTTATGTTCTCAAACAAATGACTCAAGATGAGCAATCAAAGAAAGATATGCTTAACAAATGTCGAGATTATTACCAATTCGATAGAAAACAGTTGGAAAAAATCGAACAATTTCGAAACAGTTATAGTCGAGACCGAGCAATCGAATGGTATACAAATGAGTGTTTTCTTTACAAACTATTGAACAAAGCTCTCCGCACTGAAGATATTGAATTACTTTATTCATTCCGATTCTTCATTATTGATTTGTGTTTAGAAATCGAACGAGAAAGTAAGGAATTGGATGTTGGTAACGGTTTAACATTGTATCGTGGACAAATGGTTTCAGTCGAAGAATTCGAAAAATTGAAAAAGAATGTGGGAAAACTCATATCAATGAATAGTTTTTGGTCTACTTCACGTAGCATCCAAGTGGCTCGTGTATTTGCTCCTGCAGATACCATTCCAGATAACATTCGTTCAATTCTCTTTGAAATTGAAGTTGATTCGTCAGTGAAAACGGTCGTTTGTGCTGATATTAATCACCGGACTCAAATACCAGAAGAAAGAGAGGTTCTTTTTAGTCTCAATTCTGTTTTTGAAATTGTTTCTGTCAATTTTGATAAAGAATTTGATCTTTGGAAAATACAATTAAAAACAACTGATGAAGGTTCTAAAAATGTTGAAGAATATGCCAAATCCATTGAGAGAGGGGTGGACTACGATTCACCAATGATCTACTTTGGTCGTCTTCTCCTTTATGAATTAAGTCAAATTGATCAAGCTGAGAAATATTTCAAGATATTACTCAAATCATTGCCGTCCGACCATTCGGATATTGCATCTGTGTACAACTGGATTGGAGTTGTGCACGACAAAAGAAACAACTTTGATCAGGCATTAGAGTATTATGAGAAAGCCTATGCAATTCGTCAAGAGCAATTACCATCTGATCATCCGGACATTGCTAAATCACTCTATGATTTTGGAACTATAGCCGAAAGAAAAAAAAACTTTGATCAAGCAATTAATTACTACGCACAAGCATTAAATATCGACGAGAAAAACTACATAGTTGATCTTGAACACAAAGCCCAAACTATTAAAAAAATTGGTATGGTATACAGACAAAAGGGCGACCTAAATATGGCGCTTGAATATGTGTATCGTGCGCTCGAGATGTTTCGACGTATTCTACCAGCACAACATCCTCAAATTGCCATGTGTCTAATAAATATCGGGATGGTTCATCGCGATCAAGGGAATTTCGATAAAGCACTCGATTATTTTCATCAAAAACTCGAGATGGATGAACAATGTTTACCATCTGATCATCCTTATCACTCTCGAAACTTTGACTTGGTTGTCAAAACTTATCAAAAGAAAGGTGAGATTGAGAAAGCTTTAGACTTTTGTCAGAAAAAACTTGGTGACCAAAAAAATATTCTTGGTGAGAATCATCCTCGTATTGCTCAGATGTTGATGGCGATAGCTAAAATGCTTGCAGATACAGCTCTCAATCGAGCACTCGAATATTATGATGAAGCGCTCTCTATTCTCGAACAAACAACACCGGCTGATTGTGAAACAATCACTCACTATCTTGCAGCTATGGATAGTGTCTATTCAAAATATTGCAATCCAATTAATGCATTACCACGTCTCCTCAAAGCGTTCGACTTGTCTCGCAGAATACCGCATTGTGATCATATTAGTATTGCAAATATTAGCAGAAATATTGCCTTACGTTATGAAGACATGAAGAAATCGTCAGAGGCACTTTACTATTTCAATGAAAGTCTCTCGATTTATCAAGCTAGGTATGGAGAACAACATAAAACAGTGAGGTATGTTAAGGCTCATATCGTCGAATTGAGAAAAAAAATAGAAGATTGCTCTCAAAATCAAATCACTTCGGAACAATGCCAATGAAAAGTTATGTAGAACTGTCAATTTTACTCAATATTTCAATTTAGAACCGAACACCTTTTTCACTTCATCCAATCTGTTTCATTTACACTAAAGTCTTGACATATTAAAAGAAGCTCTAAAAGAAATGGGAGTGGGTATGGATGTGCGTGTGGAGTGCGAGTGTTGGTGTGGGTGTGGGCGTGTGGGTGGGGGTGCGAATGGATGTGGTTGTGAGTGTGTGGGTGTGGATGTGGGTGTGGGTGCGAGTGGGTGTGGGGGTGTGGG